AAGTAAGGTAGGTACGTTAGTTACGTTACTAAGTACGTAGTAGTTAGTTTAGTTGTTAGTTAGTTATTATTATTATAGTATTATCTCTCTCTCTCTCTCTCTCTCTCTCTACTACTATATATATATATATATATATATATATATATATAATATGCCTGAAAACACTCAATCTTTCTGGGGAGGATTTCGGTTATTTCAAGCCCCAAGCAAAGTTCATTACACTATTTTTCTTATTTTGTTTTATATTTGCAAAAAAATATAATAAAGTTTCAGACTTTTTAAGTTTTTGTTAGAAATGAATTTTTTTTTCTCAAATCAATGAAATAGGTTTCTTGTATGCAATTTCATCTTTATTAAAGTCTTTTCCCAACTAATTGAGTTCAGCTACACGAATCTTGATATGCCATTTTATTTCTCTTGTGTTCAATTTAATGATTGTTTTTATAAGTTCATTGTTGTAGGTTTTTGATTTCTTAGTGACTTACATTTTTGTCAAGGAAAAAGTGTATATAAGGTAGATACCTTAAAATGTAGAATTAAGATGCACCTCTAAAATCCTTCGAAAGAGGTTGATTTGATGTTAGAAAAACATCTAATTGATCATCTTGACATCAAGATGTATATATATGGGGAAAAAAAAAAGATTTCGAGCCTTAAAAATAACATATCTTGAAAAACGTTATCTGGACCATTCATGTTGAAGATTATCATATGTTCCTAGATCTGCTTGATTTGCACTATTTTTGGAGATTAAAATTTTAAAATTAGAGATGAAAATAGATTCTCGCACAATTCTAAGAAATTTTGATACCAAAATTACATCCCATGACAAAGTTTGGAGGTGCACCTTACTTTGATTGTTTAAGATTGCGACCTTATGCAAACCAGACCCTTTTGTAAATACACAATTTTTTTGCGGTTTTGTCATTTTCATTTGATTTTGTATTGTCACTTTTATGTTTTTGGGTTCTCTAACACAAATGGAAATTTGTAAAATTATAGGTGAAAATGCTCATTTTTTGTATTTTGGTATTTTTAATTATTTTATTTCCATATGAAAAATGGTCTTTTTTTTTATGCATTTTTTTTTGTTTCATTCATGCTTAAATGCTGCAATGGAGAATGGTGAGCTATGAAAATATTTTCAAATTCAGTATTTTGTGCAATTTTTGTATTTTTAGTTAGAAAATTAAGGGGGTTTTGTTAATATTTATATTGATTTATTAATTTTTATTGGATACTTGTGAAATTTAAAATTTCCATTGCCAATGGGGTTTGTTTTTTTGTGGGTTTTTTTTTGTTTTGTTTTTTGGGTCTGTAAACTTGTAATTCTTGTGATTTGAGAAATGTGCTTTTTTTGTTTTGTTTTGAAACGCTATTTGAGAAATGTGCTTTGTGGTTTGGATGGGTGTTTTTCATATTTTTCTCTTTTTTATTTTGTATTGTTTCTTTTTTCTAACTGGTCTTACTCAAATTGATCCATCTGGTTGGTCAGACCAAATCAGGGCCCTCGCTGATTCGACCTCTTGTACAACATAGATGTAGTCACAAGTGAATCATCCAATGGAACATGATCACACATGCGTGCTTGTCATGTAGTTGTTAAATTTTTATATCATTATGATAAGTAAACATATATGAATTGCAGGGAGCCCCTCATCCCCCTTCACTGATCATGGCTGATGAATGGAAGAAACCATACTCCAGGGAGTATGCAGCGTTCCCTGCTTCTTGGCTCCGGGGAGCCAAATTCTGGCCCTCAACAGGTAACAGAGCTTTCAAACTCTTGTTCTTGTGGATTGTATACTATAGGCCTAGTAACTTTTGTACAAGGAGATCACAATCACTTACGACCATCGGATGTGAAATCCAACAGTAGTAAAGTGTATCATATAGTTCGAGAAACTATATTTTGAAGTTTGTGCACAATGACACACCCCCCCAACCAATTTTACATCTAGCAATCGATAATGATTGTGACTTGTGCAAAAAATGAAAGGACCGTATACTATGATACCATTTATCCTTGTTACAAAGAGGTTACAATTACTCCTAGTTATTAGATGTCAAATTGGGTGGTTAGGATGAGTCATGAATTCCAATTTTTGTTTTTGGGAACTTTGAGTCTATTCAATTACACTTTTACATCCACTTAATTTGAAATCCCAGGGGCAAGAGTGATTGTGACTTCTTCGTACAAAAAGTAAATGACCTCTTTGTATGCTTTTTCAAAAAATAAATCGTCTCATTGTATACATTTGTATAAAAGAGAGCGTATAAAAGAGAACGCCATTAATGCATAACATTAATGTCGTTTTTTGTTTTCAGGGCGTGTAGACAATGTGTATGGTGATCGCAACCTGGTGTGCACCCTGCTTCCTGTAACGAATGGTGTCGAAGAAGAAGCTGCTGCTGCTGCATAATAATCACGCTGCTTCCTTGGTGATTTTCAGGTCTCCTGTTAACAGGAACCTCTTCTTCTGTATGTGTACATAAACTTGGCATGTACTTGCCTTGTATTTTCATTCTTATATTTATTCAAACTGCTTCTATTCCCCACAGTGGTCAAGGTTGGAATGGATTAAGGGTCAAGGTTTAAAAAACCGGATCGGGTGGCCAACTCGGACTGGTTTGGCCTTATTGGACGGAAAAACAAATTTGAAAAAATTTAAAATATATGAAACTAAGTTAAAAAAATTGTTACATAAATTGATTTAATTATTAAAAAAGAGAGGTGAGAATGCCGAAAGTCTGGTTCTCATCTAAGTACCATGCATTTCACTATCTAAAATAAGATATATATCAAAAAAAGAAAGAACAAAGAAAGCAAGAACAATAAAATCGAAACCCTATCTAAAAAAATACAATTACAATAAAATCTTTAAGAGTACCGAACAATACATTAAGCCAAGACACTCGTGGTATCGATCATTATTTTTATAATTAGGATAGTTCTCTAGTGCCGCACTTAAGGTTATTCTGGGACAAAAATAGTAAGTTGGAAAAAAGGGATATCTTTGTAAAATTCAAAAATTTTAGGTTATTTTCTGAATATCCCTAAAAAATTAAGTATATTTATGTTAATTTCACCTAAAATCTGAACCCTGCTTGACAAATAGAATATCGTATTCATAAAAAAGTTTGGATTTTCTCAAAATTATTTAGGATAAAAGAATACAAAAAATTAAAATAAATACAAATATTATTCAAAATTAACTATATCCTACCTAAGAAGGTCGAGAAGAAGAAGCGCCAAGTCATTAAAAAGTTATCTGAATCCCTATCCAACTCAACCTAGACCAAAGCAAATCTAAATTTTCTCATTTAGAAAAAATTTCGAATATTTTCTGGAAATAAAACGAATAGGAATGTTATTAAAAACTTATCTAAAGCCCTACTTAAGGTAACCTAGAACCAAAAAAAAGAAGAAGACGGAAATTAACATAATATTTGTATTTTTTTTGATGAAAACCCTAAATCAGTAGAAGAAAAATTAAAATACATATGTATATCGTTAAACTTTATCTAAACCGTACCTAACACAACCAAGAGCAAATTACTCATAAAATACAAAATAAAAACAATAAAAATAGGAAAAATAAAAAAATGAAGAGAATATATAATTTGATAAAATCCAAACCAAATATTCCACTTCACCTAAAAGGACATTTCAATCAAAATTAGAATAAAAATTAAAGCAAAAACACGTTTTAGAAAAAAATTATACTATTTTTTTTAAAAAAATTTTGGTATGGTTTTGTAGATAATATCTAAGAATATTTCGAGACAAATTTAAACAAATTTACTAAAACATTGAGTGAGAAATCAAAGATTTTCAATATTGGATAAACAACCGTACTAAAACTTCCACACTAGATCTCTTCAAATTTTAAACATTTTGGTGTGTTATTCCATAAGAAATGCGTAGAAAAGAACACTTGAAAAGGGTGTGGTTTGCTTAAGGGTGCAACTTTAAACTGTGGAAATATAGAAACTTACACTTACCTTTAGGAACAGTATTTCCTTTATTGTACTTACCTTTTTTGTGTACCCATATTAGGAAGGTGGTTCATTATATATTTTAGTTTCTATAGTACTACATATCTTTGTAACCCTATAACTTAGGGCTCTTGTTCATATCTTTGATAAGTTCAATGATACATTTTCATGGGGGCTTAAGGCCCAATTATACAGAAATACAATTTATCACATGTTATCAGAGCTAGTTCCTTGCAATCTAGTTTGGGTTTCCTTGCTTCTCTAATCTCTTGATCGCTACTCTATAATATCTCAATCACTGCTCTCTCTCTATCATCAATCTGGTCTTGCTCTCCTTCTCTCTCTTGGCTGTGGCATTAATTGGTCTCTCTGGTGTGAACCGTTCTCTCTCTCTATTGTGCGCACACGCTGTGAACTGCTGACTCTCTCTAAGGCTGTGAAGTGCTCTTTTCCTTTCTCTACCCTGCGAACTAGCTTCTCTTGTGAACCAGTATCCGTCTCTTTGTTCCCTGCTCTTTCTCTCTACCGATCTACATGCTCTCTCTTTCTCTCATCAGATCTCTCTCTCTCTCTTGGTGACTCATTAGATCTCTCTCTCTCTCTTGGTGAACCCGACGTGAAACGAACATGCAACCTTATGATTGCTCTCTCTCAACCCTCTCTATCGCTACTCTTTGATTTCACTATTGAGTCGTATTTCGACTCTCTGCTTTGTCTCTCGGCTGAGTCATGTTTCGTGTTTCGACTATCTGCTTTGTCTCTCTGTCGAGTCGTGTTTCAACTCTCTGCTCTATCTCTCTGCAGAGTCATGTTTCGACTCTCTGCTCTGTATCTCTGCCGAGTCTTGTTTCGTGTTTCGATTCTCTGTCAAGTCGTGTTTCAACTCTATGCTCTATCTCTCTGCAGAGTCATGTTTCGACTCTCTGCTCTGTGTCTCTGCCGAGTCGTGTTTCGACTCTTTGCTCTGTCTCTCTACTGAGTCATATTACGACTCTCTGATTTGTTTTGGATCTTACTGTTCTCAACTCTGAATCTAAGATCCCACTGTGATGTTGATCCGCCACTGATTTCAGTTGGCTCTTCCAAGAGCCTCTTCTTTTTGATGATCGAATTTCTCAATCCCAAATGTTCTGTCTGTTCATAAGGCCATCTGTTCCTGTGGCTATTTGTTCTTGTGGCCGTTTGTTCCTGAGATCTGTCACTTTCTGTGCTTGTTGTTCAAGCAATCTGAGCATGGAGACCACTACTTCTATCGGTCATGCCTTGCACCTGAAGACTTGATGTCATTTTCTGCAGACTGGATGTCGTTTTTTGTGGATCGTTAATTTGCAGTTGCTCAAGCTTCTTCTGTTCTTGCTTTGTTACTAAGGCCTTGCGTTCTTTAGATGCCCAAACTCAAGATGCTCGCTCTTAACTCGTCTTGAGTTTGAGGGGGAGTGTGAAAATATAGAAACTTACTCGTACCTTTAAGAACAATATTTCCTTCATTACACTTAAATTTTATGTGTACCCATATTAGGAAGGTGGTTCATTACATATATTATTTTCTATAGTACTACATATATTTGTAACCCTATAAATTGGGGCTTTTATTCATATCTTTGATATGTTCAATAATACATCTTCATGAGGGCTTAGGGCCCAATTATACAAAAATACAGTTTCTCACATAAACAATCCAATTAAGGCGCACTTCTAAGTTTTATCAGAAATGTAATTTTTATATAAATTTTTTTTAGGATGGCTTGAGAATCTGTTTTCATCTCTAATTATAAAATTTTAAACTCTCAAAATGGTTAAAATGGACGGTCCAAATAATGTGTTGCAAGATACACTATTTTGTAGACTAGAAATCCTTTTTTTCTTTTCATATTCATACATCTCTATGCCGAGATGATCAATTAGAGGTTTCTAACATTCAAGCAACCCTTTATGCTGCATCTTTAATTCTATAGTTACAACCTTATATAAACTTTTTCCATTTGAAAAATGGTAAAAAAAATCAAACTAAATCTTAATCTTGAAATTTCATAAATAGGTCATTATTGTGGGCATTTCTTTAAGGTTTTTGCAAATCAACGGAATAATAATATATTGGAACAAATTTGTGAAGAATTCTCGAAGAAATCGAAGTTTATCTATTTTGGTTCCCAAGCTGACTCGGCCGATTCTAGGCTAGACTCAAGCTCCAAGTCAATTCGTCTATTCCTAAGTGTTTTTAAACCATGGTACAGGCAAAATTCAAGGACTCGGCCTTGGTTCAGTGCTTTGCGTAGTTAGCTGAATTGGCTCACTGACCTAGTAAAGGATCATCAGTATGCATGGTCAAGATTTAAAGTCAATTTTGTGAGACTCGTCCACGTGCTAAAAACTGCATTAGAACCGAGTCCACCCTCCTAATCTTTGAGTCTTACTCGCAGGGTTGGGATTTTCAAAAGAGATTGTTTAGAATAAGACAATTTATCTTTCATATAAGGAAGTTATTTCTAGCCATTAGATGTTAAATTGGATGGCTTTTGGTACATCACAAAGTTTGAGAATTTTCTTGGAACTTGGAGTTTAGTCAATAACATGCTCACAACTATCCGATTTGAAATCCGAAGAATGAGTGATTGTGACTTCTTTGTGATAAAAGTAAATTTTCTCTTAAAAGTGAATAGTCTCTTTATATTTTTTTCTTTTCAAAACGACCTGTAAACTTTCTATAACAAAGCAAATAAATTGTTGTTACACGTATTTCTATATTCTATTTTAAATCTCATAAAAGGGTACGTTTTGTATAAGATGTCAACTTTAAATAATCAAAACGACCTGTAAACTTTCTATAACAAAGCCATAAATTGTAGTTACACGTATTTTTATATTCCATTTTAAATCTCATAAAAGGGTAAGGTGTGTATAAGATGTCAACTTTAAATAATCACATTGAGTCGTACCTCGAAATCATATTAAAAGATGCAGTTCAGTCCCATAAATTCTTACAATGGCTTGAAAGTTTATTGTCACCCCTATTATGAAATTTAAAGCTTTAAAGTGGTGTAAACCTATAAACACCTGAAAAAAAATGGAAGATGTTGAAATGTAATTTTTCTTTCGTATCGATATATATTAAGGTCGAGATAATGAATTAGCGTGTTTCTAACAAAAAAACAACCATTTCGATTGAGGTACACTTTCTACTGTATGTTCACACACATTAGAATACGTCTTTTTCCCTACAAGTTTCCTCGTTTTGTATTTTTTGAAAAATTGGATCACACGTTAATGTTGATATAGCTTATTGAAAAACTTAAATTTCAAAAGGTTCTTAAGAAAATTGTCTAACATTTTCTAGCACCGTTTCAGTGCGCTTTTGTAAGTGTGAATATCCACTTTAGTTTCGGATGCAGATGGATTCAGTATATTTTATTATTTTTAAATTTTTAGGGATTTAATTATTTTTTTTATTTTTTATAAGTATATTTTTTATTTTTTATTTATTAGAGCCAATTTTTTACTTTATTAGAATCAATTTTTAGAAATAAGATTAGTATTTTTTTTTTAGGTTTCTTTGATAAAGT